CGGCTCTTTGGCCCCTTGAGTGTGGCTCTTCCACAAAATACCAACTTCTCTGCATGGGCCAGGAAGGGCCACGAAGTTTCAATCACACTGTACGTGCATGCCCGCACGTGTTATTTTGTGGAAGAGCCACACTCAAGGGGCCAAAGAGCCGCATGTGGCTCGAGAGCCGTGGTTTGCCAACCACTGCACTAGAGAAACAGGTAACAATCCTCGCGGGCTCAGCACCTGCAGCACCTGGAGCACCTGCTCTCACGGATCCACAGGTGGAGCTGGTTCTGGTGGGAAACCGTTCAGGCCCCGTGGAGGCTGCAGGAGGAGGAACCGAGACCTGTGTGCTGTGTCGGGGAAAGGCAAAGCCGCCGGGTGTGAGCAGTGCGAATAATTTGTTTTCTTCTCTGTCCTTTCTACATTTTCCCACTTATCATGAGGAAAAATTAAGGGCCTGCGTCTTTGAAGGGTGTGAGATTAGTCTTGCTCAACCTGGTACAAGACGGAGCCCGTTACCCAGGTGTGAGCACGGCCTTCCGCACCTCACGCAGCCGCGCACCTGGGACCCGTCTCCCCTGACGCCTCGGCTTCTCTGTTCCCAGGCGGAGCCCAGAGGGGCTGGGGACTGTGCGTCCCTCTAGCCCAGTGGTCGGCAAACTCATTAGTCAACAGAGCCAAATATCAACAGTACAACCATTGAAATTTCTTTTGAGAGCCAAATTTTTTAAACTTAAACTATATAGGTAGGTACATTGTGATTAACTTAATTAGGGTACTCCTAAGGCTTAGGAAGAGCCACACTCAAGGGGCCAAAGAGCCGCATGTGGCCTTCGAGCCGCAGTTTGCCGACCACGGCTCTAGCCTGACCCTGAAGCAGGAGCCACGTAAATGAACTCAGAGAGACCAGCAATGCTGCCTGGGACGCGCGTCCATGGAGAACGGCCTGCCCTGAGGCTTGGGACACTGACCTGCCTCAGCCCCACCTATGCAGCGCTGGCGTGTGCACACGGCCCCCACCTGAGGGTCTCTAATGTAAGCACACAGCCCTCACCTGTGAATCTGCAGCATGTGCACACGGCCCCCACCTGGGGGTCTCCTACCTGTGTACACAGCCCTCACCTGAGGGTCTCCAGCGTGTGCACTCGGCCCCCACCTGGGGGTCTCCAGTGTGAGCATACGGCTCACCTGTGGGCATCCAGCATGTGCACACGGTTTCTACCTCTCTCTCTCCCGTCCTCTCTGTAATCAATAAAAATATATTTTTTAAAAAGAACAAGAGAACCTCACTTTAGTTTAAAAAACCGAGACCTGCGTGCTGTGTCGGGGAAAGGCAAAGCCGCCGGGTGTGAGCAGTGCGAATAGTTTGTTTTCTTTCACTTCTCTGTCCTTTCTACATTTTCCCACTTATCATGAGGAAAAAATTAAGGGCCTGCGTCTTTGAAGGGTGTGAGCTTAGTCTTGCTCAACCTGGTACAAGACGCAGCCCGTGACCCAGGTGTGAGCACGGCCTTCCGCACCTCACGCAGCCACGCACCTGGGACCCGTCTCCCCTGACTCCTCGGCTTCTCTGTTCCCAGGCAGAGCCCAGAGGGGCTGGGGACTGTGCGTCCCTCTAGCCCAGTGGTCGGCAAACTCATTAGTCAACAGAGCCAAATATCAACAGTACAACCATTGAAATTTCTTTTGAGAGCCAAATTTTTTAAACTTAAACTATATAGGTAATATAGGTAGGTACATTGTGATTAACTTAATTAGGGTACTCCTAAGGCTTAGGAAGAGCCACACTCAAGGGGCCAAAGAGCCGCATGTGGCCTTCGAGCCGCAGTTTGCCGACCACGGCTCTAGCCTGACCCTGAAGTGGGAGCCACGTAAACGAACTCAGAGAGACCAGCAATGCTGCCTGGGACGCGCGTCCATGGAGAGCGGCCTGCCCTGAGGCTTGGGACACTGACCTGCCTCAGCCCCACCTATGCAGCGCTGGCGTGTGCACACGGCCCCCACCTGGGGGTCTCCTACCTGTGTACACAGCCCTCACCTGAGGGTCTCCAGTGTGAGCACACGGCTCACCTGTGGATCTGCAGCGTGTGCACACTGCTTACCTGTGGATCTCTGCAGCGTGTGCACGGCCCTCACCTGTGGATCTCCAGCGTGTGCACACCGTACTTGCTCTCGATCCTGTACTTGCCGGGCTCGGCCGCTTGGCTGATCAGGGTGCCGTTTTTGTACCTGAAGGAGGAGACGCGTGTCGGTGCTAAGGGGCTGGGGTTGTGCCCCCTCCTAGGGGTCACCGCCCCCTCTGCAGGGGACGCTCAGTGTCACGGGCAGAGGGTGAGGGGTGCTGGGGACCACGCAGGGCCACATGTCCGCTGTGTGAGGACAGAGCGGCTGTGCTGATTCCGAGCGTGGGCGCTGCTCGGCCTGGGAGAGGGCGACCCCGGTCTCCTGGACGCTGGTGGGAATCCGGGTCTGTGTCTTTCCCCTCGGGAAGTAAACGGACGGTGTCACGGGCCCCAGACCCCCTCCCTGTGCCTCGGCACAGCCGCGGGCCCACCCCGACCCCCACCCC